GTTAAACGATCGATTGAATGGAACTCGTCACTATACATCCACTTGTTTGATTATAAGTAAGCGTTTCACAGTGTGGATAGAAGAACACTATCTAACCTTCTTCGACACTGTGGTGTACCTGAACACATAGTGAACATCATATGGAATTTATAGGACGGACTACACTGCAGACTCGTTCATGGAGGTCAGCTGATAGATGCATTTTGTGTGAGGACAGGAGTCAGACAAAGTTGCTGACTCTCCCTCTTCCTCTGTCTCCTGGTGGTTGACAGGATAATGAAGAGCTGCACATCTGAGAAGACTCACGGAATACAATGGACAGCTTGGATGCGACTAGACGATCTGAACTTTGCAGATGACCTAACCATCCTATCCCTTACACACCAATAAACGCAGGCCAAAACAAATAGTTTAGTGGCAGCCTCTGCGTCAGTAGGCCTTAACACACACAACGAAAAAAGCAAGGCCCTCAAATACGTCATGGAGAACACGAACCCAGTCATACTTGATGGAGAAACTTTAAGAGAAGGGAAGTTTCACGTATTTCGGTAGCATCATCGATAAACAAGGAGGATTTGGAGCAAAAGTAAAGGCAAGGATTAGAAAAGTAAGTATAGCGTTCCCATAGTTTAACAACATATGGAACTCCGAAAGACTGTCTATAAGTATTAAAGTCAGGATCTTCCATACGAGCGTCCAGTCAGTTAGTCCTACTGAGGGGAGCTAAAACTCGGAGAACCAACCTCAAAAATGTTCAAGTAATCATATACAATTATCTGCACAAGATACCCAATATCTGTCGGCTGGATACCATCAGCAACAATCTTCTAGAAATCACCAAACCTCATTATGAGGTGAGCCCCGACACAGAATGCTGAGGGAAAACGAAGAAGAGGAAAACCAGAGAACACACCATCGAAAACTAGAAGCAGACGTGAAAAGTGTGAATATTAACTGGAAAGAATTGACCAAGACCAAGTTGGATGGACAATGCTGGTGGTTGGATGGTGTACCTTCGCGAGGGTTGACGTGAGTAATTAAGTGCTGCACGTGATCTGTCTGGATATACTCCTTCAATCATTTTGTCTGCAATGAGCTCAAAGTTGTGGACGTTTCTGGGGGTCGAAGGGAGGCGGACAGATCATGAATCTTGGTAGGGAATTCTCGCAGATTTATTATTGTGCCTCGTAAATAGTGCTCCGGCCGAGCATACTGCAGCTCGGGGTTACTACGATTAAGTTCTGGGGATCGGACGTTCGTATTCATCACAGTGTCCATCACCGCCGGTCACAAATTACATTCATCTTCCAGATTTTTGGTTTGTATTGAGTATGACATGTTGTATATAATGTTCAATTGCTTCCACCTCCTACCGAGTAATCCTATCACAAGCAAAACTAGACAATTTGCTGAAAGCGAAGCCTGCTCATGGCCCTACAAAATCAGCAAAAATAAAAATGAGCTGAAATAGCTTCAAAAAAAGGGAGATAACCATTTATGTATCAGAATACTGTTTTCAGTACCATATTTCGTCCTGCGCCATCATTATTGACTCAGATGTTCCAGAGGGATATAATGTCACGGTTAATAGAAACTCTCAAACTTAAGTGGACTTACGATCATCAGTTTCTCATTTCAACGCAACCTCCATTAAGCACGACAACTGTCATATTGACAATACGGATCTTACTAATATTATTTGCATTCATATGTGAGAAGCGTTGCCCCCCATAATTTTATGATCAATGGAATTTATAAAATATCAAACTAACTGGGCAACCCACCACAATGAGGACTGTGTTTTCGGTAAAATTTTGATCTTGTATGTAAACTGGCATGGCTCATGTAACTGACCGCTATTTGAGAACAAATTATTTTTATCATTATTATCTTGAGGGATTGCTTAGAAAATTCGCAATAGACGTAGGCGCAGATCATAGGAGAAAATACAACATAAAACAGTTTATGATACTGGCTACTAACCACACAATCTTTGAAGCCGAGCATATAATTACTGAGATTCGCATCCAATAATAAACACTTGAAGAGAGTTAAAAATGATGAAAGCATGAATAATTGATTGGTATGGAATGTCTCGGCCATACAGGTGTGACTCTTATGTGTAACTTGTTCCTATTAATATGAAATATATTTGATACGTCCTTGATCTGTCTACACAATAATATACAGAATATAACTTTTATCGTCCTAGATTAAGTCGTTAAACGATTGGCTGGCTGGTTTTTGCCTTGAGGTCAGAAATGTGTGAGTTCGAATTGAAATTAGATGCTTTGGGTAGAGAAAAAACTATAACATCACCTGATTGTTTGACGAACGAAAGATAAGAAAAGTCAAAAGGGACACTGCTCGATTTATTCCCGATTTTGATTCATATTGGCGAATACGAATAAACAGATGACTACCGTGACCAAAACGTATGAACGGTTGAAAGAATACAATCACGTACAAAATGGGTATTAGGGTAGAACAACAGAGTATCAAAGGTTATATTTAAATTATAATAGCTTCGAAACAGAAAAGAGAATGGCAGTGAATCACACATCAAACGAAATCTTGTAACTTATGGAATAAACTAGGGACAAAACTAAATGTTAGTGTTACATATGTTTTGATCCAAGTGGAATAATGTCCCGAAGAATAGCTTTCATCGTTTGTTAAGGATTCTTTGCTTCTCTGTTCACATTGTTATCAGTTTATCTTCAGACGGAGTGTGTTCTTCAGAGGTGCCAAGCATCATATTGCCGATTGACGATAGGACTAGTCAGTGTAGAAAATGATGAGACCTCCACTTAAGACCTTATAGATTAGGCGGCCACATCATGGGAAATCTACAATTTTGGGATTACGTCTATTATTATAGTAACAAAGATAAATATTCCGATATAGAGTTGGTCCATAAACCTACAAACTCAGTCAAGTGTAATAAAGTACGCGAGGCAAGATTGCGAAATTATGGCCCTATAGTCCTATTCGAACCTCTGATATGACGTAAAACAATAGAAACAGAATTCAAAGATGTTTCTGAAAAGTTCACATACTACTTCTCATTCTATAGACTGGGTCATGGATCATGGTTGGGTAGGAGGTTAGAAACATGAGTTTATATAATTTACTGTGTAGAGAAATATTTGATTGTTCTTTAGCGAACGGTGCCATAAGGGTTCTAAGTAGATGCTCTCGACATCAATTTGTCATGATATGACCGTAAGATCAAGAAAAGTTGAAAATATAAGCTAGAAGTTGGTAAGATAAGATGCAGGATACATTACGATTTCATACTGGATTCAGAAGGAACAGATGTAGTGGAAGCTAACAGTATACGGTCACTGGAAGTTACTCAGGTTTATTAATCAGGAAGCTATCCCGCACAAAATACTTTAAGGAAGACACACTATGAGGTGATCACTTAAATAAATCGAAACCTAGTACCTTCCAATTTTGAACAGTAACAAGAAAGACCCAGTCTGCTACAGCCCATTCGCATCACTATATTGTAGAAATTAATAGGATTAGTCGATGATCATGTGAGAGAAGGTTTGAACAAAAATATCGTCTTCCATGAAATCGGATTGGTTTGTATAAGCAGGTCCTGAGCATCCAATAATTTTATTGTTCTGGACAACTAGACGACCTACAGTAGCCGAATAACACCGATCCACGTCGTTATCTTCAACTTTGCAAAAGCATCTAAAACGGTATCTCATACAACACTTGAAGCAGAGGTACAGAAGCTACCTAGAAAACCGGACATTTCGTACCAAGGCAAAGTGCACACGGGCTGGAGTGTCGACATCGGGAGTTTCTTAGGGGACCGTCTTAGTTCCGCCCATTTACCTGATCTTTACTGATGACCAAGATGAAATTGGTTCAGCGGCACCAATCTATGCAGAAGATATGAGGAACTGGAGGTCCACAAAGAATGAAAAGGATTCATTTGACATTTAAAGGGACCCTAAAAAGATTGAGAAAGACATAGTAGAAAATGGTTTAAAACTTAATTTGAGGGGATGACAAGGACAATTCCTACCAGAATTATGTGTAATACCGTTTAAAACATGCTCACTACCTCTTCTCGAATTTTACAAACTCGCTGCGATCCTTCTTTTCAAAAGAGACGTAAATCTGTCAAACGACGTAGAGAGAAGGAAACCTAGTGGGCGATAGAGCAGGGGGATAAATCTTACGAAAACAACTAGCACTTGTGTTTATTCTCATTGATGTGAATGAAAATAAGAAATAATCTTTCAATGACATTTAACGTACGACGTACCTCAAGTCACCCTAGCCCCGAGCATCCTACCAGAACATCACCTCCTTCCTCCCCGAAGCGATCCTTGAGGAATTGCAAATTAAAGAGCGAAAACCTAGGTGCGCCCTAACGTTTCCTCTCAAATAGTTTCTCCCATTTAGAATACTCCTCCAGACTATTCATTGGATAGCTTCAAGAAGAAACCTGACAAACATGTACTCACCTATGGATTAACATCTCTTACTTAGACCAGTTGATACTGATTCATGTCTTGCAACTTAATTACTGTTATGACTATCACATATTGTCAATCTATTGTTATCTCGTTTAGTATAATCTCCGTTCATCCTTATATCCGCAAACTGCCTGAGTTAACAATTGAGTGTTTAATTTATCTATTTAGTTCTTGAAACAATCGTCTCCTCTCGGCATTCTAATTTCTTAATCACTACAAACAAACAAGCTCCAACTTGGTAATGTGATAGCTACTGGTATCATGGAACCATACTGCGCCTAAACACATTACAAGATAAACAAACCCATAATAACTACTAAATAAAGTATAATTGGTGTAATCAAGTGGTTAGACTATCACTCACTATACAATACTAAAGGCCTGGATGCACACTGTAACAACAAGAACTGAGCTCAAAAATATCACTCAGTGCTTATAAGCACGTTTAAGGATATTGGCTACTGGACGTTCCTCTGACCTTGGTGTTAAGTGAAAATGCCTTTAGACCCTAATCATGTAGATGCTGCCGAAATTTCAGACACATGGGTAAGTGTAAAATACCGAGAATTATCTTAGTAAGGTTCTGTCGAAAAGACGACTGTAAGGCCTCAGTTTTCGTTAGCCGTGTGATATACATTTTCTAGGTTCCAGTCGTTTAAATTTCACCTCATAAATTAGGATCGCTACCGGTGGAGAAGTTGACTAGTTGGTAATGGGAGATGACTTCTGTTAGTGTAGTTAGCAGCTTTTTGTTGACTCTATACAATAAAGCTGGGGACTTAGTTCAGCAACTTTATGAAACATCCATTCTTAAATGTTTCATTTGGGGGGGGTTGTGACATAAATAGTAAACAAAAAATTGTCAAACATATTTGACACAGTCCTTCGTTTTTTGACCTTTAAGCACCCTCCTATTTTTCACATACATTGCTATTTCAGGTATGGTATAAAATCCCATAAGTTCCATTAGAATCAAACATACTATGGTACAAAGATATCTTCAGTCACTATAGCAAGAAAACAAATCTCCGGAAAATTAATAAGTTATGAAAAGTTTTCCCGTATTTATGTATAGTAATAGACACGTTGTAACCTAATCTATTGTTTATTTGATTTAAAATATCATTATTGGTAAACTCTACACAAATCTGTTCACACTTTTAACGTTTGGTGTGGTAGGTCCCTGTCTAGACTAAGGACTTCTGCATGTCGAGGAAAATCTACAGAGCAGTGTGAGGGAAGCTGAAAATGAAAAGGAGAGGAAGATTACGATTCATCATCCACATGGGATGCATTCATATTTGATAACAAAAGTAATGATTATTAGTTAACCGTAGCACAAATATGGGACTAAAGTATCCTGACAGTTAGGACGGAAAGTTTATAAAATATAGTTTCGAATGTGTTGCAAAATCAATGGCTTTAAGCGTATTTGGTTTTAATTGGCAAGCTTCATTTTTGCTTTACATCACTTAACCTTTTTTATGCAACGAAATCACATTCCTACGATAAGTAATTGCTATCACAATAGGTTTGTAACTAGTCTATATTCCTAACTCATGACTCGCCTAGACTTCATATTTCTTTGCGTCTAGTTTTAGTGATTATTAACTATTCCTTGTCTTTCACCATTATCTTCCTCGCTATGCACTATTTTTTGTAGTTGTCAGTGATTCAGATATACAAAAAGTTAATTCATAGACAGTTTCACACAGACTGGTTTCTTCAGACTTTATGTTCCTCCTTGCATGTTTTCAATTTATAGTATGTTTTTAGAACTATGTAACTAGTTAATCCTTAAAGACACAATACTTACAATAGTATCACTTTCTTTTTTTGGAATTAATAATTATCTTACACTTGAGGATCTATAGTGACAGGATATCGAGTCCTTTGGACAATCGTAGGGTAAAGCGTACAGTTAATACTTTGACCAGTCTAAATAATTTTTGTAATATCTATGTATCTTGCATATCTGTTCTTTATTACGCCCTTAAGAGACTACATATATTAAATACAAATCTGAGTCGTTACATGTCCTTGCATATTAACAAGACTTGGTTAATTTTTCAAAGCTATAATTCTGAAAATTACTCTTGTAAGGTACCTGAAATAGAATATATATATATATATATATATATATATATATATATATATATATATAAATTTAATCAGAGTCCAAGATATTTATTTATTCAGTCATTCACATAGTACTTTTAGCGTTAGTCTCATATCTCTCTAGTCCCTAGTAAATGCTGCCTGTAACAACGGGATGTTTTAAAGGCCAATCAACTGTGTTTGGTTTTCAATACTGACACTTTCTAACTCGATTTTCCCAAAACGAGAATATAATATGACTAAAAATCCTAATTTTCGAGTGGAATTCTTTCAGTGTCAATGCTCTTCTATACAGTTATTAGATCTGTTTCATCTCCTAAAAAGGTGTAATTAAAAACACTACAATGTTAGTTTATTTTAAACTTCCCATTATCCAAATAGGGTTCTTAGGACAGTAGAACCTATAGAAATAAATGGTTCAGGCGGTTTAATTCAAGTGAGTCATTACGACTTCTAATCTTAACAGTCATATCAATATAGTGGTTAAGTCGTGTTACTAAAATTTGCGTGAGCTGACAGTTATGTCGTCTACTTATTCGGCCTTTGAATCCGAAATTTTCTGTATAGGCTCATTATCTGTTGTGATTCGATAACAATTAGTTTCATCTCATACAATCCCAATAATGAACTTCATAAATGTTTTCAAAACATATATTATTGGTTTCACGTTTAATATTTTGCTGTGAATTTTTCAGATCAAACTGGATTGGAATAGAACAGTTTTTAACAGTTTAATGAAAGAATACAAGTTACAAAATTCGAAACGTCATGAATCGAAGAAACTTATTCCTTCCTGCCAAATGAGCTACTTTATTCAAAAAGTTAAATTCAAATAAATAAAATTCAATACGTTAATGGTACTTCATGAGTTTGCCATCACTTACACAATAAACTGTATTGTACGATGACAGTAGTAAGGACACAAGCAAATTTTCTCTTCTGTCATTTTGAGAGTTGTCAACTTGGGGTTGTGGCTATTTACTTCACACCAGCCGAAAAAAGGCAGCTAACTATTGGTATTAGTAATAATTTTATTTCATCTTTTGATCTTACCTTGTATCTTCCATCTTTTTCCACTAGTTCCCTCCCACTGTATTTTTTATATTTCCGGAAATATTGAAAGTCGAACTAACTTATTGCTTCACATACTTTATTCCCGTTTCAGTCAGTCACCTGAAGAGTATGATCCCAAGGGTTGTGGGTACACCAGGCGATAAATTGTATTTCTTACCTGCCGAATTCGCTTCTCATTCTATGTTAATTTTACTCTAATGTTACTAATTATCCAGCTTCTGAACAATTGCTAGTTTAGTTAAGTGTAATAATCTGTACAAACAAATTTATTTCCTAAGATTTAAGCTAACATTTTAGTCATTTCTATTTTGGTTCATTGGTGTAAAACACTAATATGTGCTATACTGACCCTTCAGAAAGTTAATATTTAAATTAATTTCGTCTTTATAACTACTCTAACAAATGTAGATCATCTGTTTCGTATGTGCGATTCCAAATAATTGTTTTGTTCAATCTAAACAAATATTTGCGCACAATAAGCACCAAAATAAATATCCACCACTCAAATAAGAATACGAGATTGCTCAGAGATAAAGAAAGGAGTACAGTGAAATAATCAAACAAATGCAGATAACTGAACAAAAATAAATGTCAATCAAAGGAACTGGCTAGTTAAAAAAAAGACGACAAGAGTTCAACTAAGTGAGTGCTTTACATCTTTAAATAAAATTTGTAAGGCGAGACTACTTCAGGACTTCTCTTTCTATCTTGAGTCATATCTGACAAAGTCTCAAGCCACTGAGTACCACCATCTCTGGGATCCAAACCAAATAGTTGTGATGGACCGACAGATGCTGTCCCTATACAGATTTATTTCATACCACAGCGCCATGTCATAAAATGACCACCTCTGCTTTTACCAACCAGTCCCGGTATTGGCAAATGAAGCACTATATAGAATTTTCTGGGATGGCATTCTCAGCACATTTCCAAGCTTTCGAAGTCAGATTTTCGAGATGACGATAGTAATTGGGTTGTCACTGCACTCAAATACACATTGTTGAACGTTTACATCACTAACATGGTGTTGCTACTGACAACAAACCAAGGTTAGTTACTATACGTAGATAAAAATGAAACTGGAAGAATAACACATAAACATTGGTACAAGGGGGCACCAAATACATATGCGCCACACATTAACAACCAGGTCAACAATAGTTACTATTGGTTTGTGCGAGAGAGCTGTGTTACTGCCTGGGTGCCCAAACTGAAGCAGGTAGTTTTAGAGGACCACACCCCGAGCCCTTGACTTAAAGGTCTAGTTCGCAAGGCAGTGGAGCAACGGTAGGAGATGCAGTTTCATACTAGTCAGTGGTCAGAAATGTTCGTACGCTCTTTTTTTCCCTCAGGATCCTGGAGCCTATGTGCACCATTAGTTTGAAATCAGGGTTTTCCAACTTCTCTAGGTGGTCCTCTGTAACCATCAACCCGGTTAAAGCACCGAATACTCACTTTCCGTTTCCTCAGTTTCGTAAACAACACCCTGCCCGAGAGGACAATAAGCAGGACTTCCTTGTAAGTGGCTGTGTACGCATGGCCATGTGAGGGCATTTGGAGAGGGGAAGCTGACTTCCTACTCTCGGCCATACTAGGCTATTTGGGGGCGTGGTAGTTTTTAGTATGTAGAATACTAAAAGAGCAAATGCAGGCTCTAATAAGTCTAGTTACTGTCAATCGAAAATCTATAAGGTGTGATAATTTACATTAGAAGTTATTCTTTAACATTTGAGATATTTCGACTAATGTATAAGTAATATGACTGTTATAGGAACAATTAATTGTGTGTTGAATATTCATATTTGACATTTTTGTATACGGAACTCAAGTATAGTTATGAGTCATGCAACCTATAGTCGTCAAAAGGGCTCAAGTTACTTTAACCTGGACGTACATGTTAGGTTTAAATTATAAGCAAGATAGTGTTAATGTTAACACTTACAAGAATTCAAAACCATGATTGGTGAACTGTGAGTGCAGCGTAACGTGTTTTGTAAATTAATATTCCAGTTAGACAATTTGCTCGTTAGGTTTCCCACTGCATGTATTTTCCCGATCTTGAGTCCCAATAAAAGTCTAACTATGAGGTTACTGAAGAAAAAAAGGTCTAAGGGTTTTTGTCAAGTTTGTCAAAGATTTTAACACCAATATACTGAGCATTGGTGTTAGCTGGTCTAAAGGTTACATTCTGTATCTAACTCTGGAGGCTTTCCATCATATATGCTGGTTAAAGTATTTCACAGTTTATCAAATTATCTATTTGGATGAACATTTAAAGTCGATATTGCGTTGATTATTAACAATGATCACATTTCGATACCAGTAAAACGTTTAAATAATGTGTCTCAACCAGCCTATTGGTGGATTAAAGTGGTAACTTAGATCTAGCGATTTGTTTTGTTTTGGGATAGGGAACAACCTAGAAAAAAGTAATCTAGCTACAAACTTTTATTGCCATCGTATTTCTGCCTGTAACTGTTTATCATATATACATATCCTGTGATGTTTTATCCTCTATTCTATTGATCAAACTTTTTACGATGTATATCTTAAGTATACTAGTCAGTCTATATATATTAACATCTGCTTTCGAATCTAGTACTTAAATCATATTGATCATTGTAAGTAAGCCGGCAAGTAATCATATCAAGACTAGACTAATCTGACCGCACTGAAAGAAATGTGCTTCGGTGTTCCTTTAAACCTAGGCTTTTTTTATGCCTGACCACTACCTACCTCGACGGGCGGTGTTCTCTGATACAGGAGCAGTCTGGAATAAAACTAAGGGTGTGCGAACCAAAACATGGCATCAATCCATGAAGTCACTGACTGTTAGGCTTGGCCATGTTAATAGGTACAGACCACCTGGTTGGGGTCCGTGCGATTATCGTAACCAATGGTTAGAGACTTTGAATGACAAAGCTCCAAATCGTTTGCAATAGCGCAGGTGCATCCATGCTAAATTCCTCATAACTTTCTCCTTGTTTTTATTCCTCTGATCTATATTTTCTTTTCGAGTTGCGTCTTCGATTCCTTATCTTTCACATTACCTCTGATACTGTTACTATCTCTACTATTCTGATATTTGGTCCGACAATGGGGTATGGTAACCTGAACCTATGTACATGAGTATAGGTTGTACGTTGTGGCTGAGTGGATTGAGAACATGTTAATATTCAGTTTATTGCTTATTATATAATAAAATCAGTTAAATTTTATAAAGTTTGGTCATTTGTAGTTGTTAGGTTTGAAGCTTAACGAGTTCACTTAAATCTGCGAACGAGAACGAGATTTGGTGACCAACGACCAGTGAGATAGCTAATGACGCGTCCCAGCCCCAGCTATCTAGAGGGAGAAGTCCAGGCTTGAAATGAGAAGTATATTCTGTAACAACCAGGAACGAGCGATTCGGCCAAAACAATTTAAAACATATATATACAAATATATATAATCGATATTGTCATTTAAATTTTTAAACATTCGTCAATAAGTTCGTCAATTGATTGCTATTCAAATATTTAAACATTTAATCGATAAAATTACAAATGTGAGTTTTTGGGGAATTTATCGTCCCCAACAGTAGTAAAGCGTCATATGCACAGAATGGAATTCTTCAGTTCTAGCATCAAATGTGAGTAAATACAATAGGTCGGATCAAAATGTAGAAGAAATTTTGTATTAGAGGATTATGAAGATATATTTTCAGATATTACTTTCACGCCTGTATTTTTAACGTAGAGTAGTATAAATTCTTGTAGGTGAGACATCTGTTTATATTCAAGCTCATTTTTATCAGTAACCATACAGAACTTTCTTTTGATTCAGGAATCTATCAGAAATCTGAACCTCCTTTCATAAAACTAGTAACTCATAACCATAAATTTGAATAATGTTCGAACTACAAGATTTTTCAAGACATTTAACTTGTGAAATAGGACAATTTTTATTAAGAAAGTTAAACGAGTTTTTTCGAAATTTTGCTACAAATCAATGTTCAGAATACAGTTCAAATTTGAAGATTGAACTTGCACTATCTAGAGTTTGTATAAATTTGTGAAATAACAATACTCGAAGAATGCTGGAAATTCTTCCATCCTATTCTAGAACTCGATCTTCCAATAAACTTTCTTTGAGCTAAACCTTTTAGCTTTATAGCTTAAATTTTGGTATCTGTAAAAAAAATCTAAATTTTAGTGTAACCGACTCAACATATTTTACTTCAAAAGAGTATGCTAAACTTACTTATTTCATTATTATTATTATTATTATTATTATTATTATTATTATTATTATTATTATTATTATTATTATAAGCTTTATTCAGCATTATATTATAAATAAAATTATTTAATGTTTGAGCTTCCCGCTGGTATATATATATATATATATATATATATGACCAAGATGTACCTTTTCGTCTTCGAAAATGTAATGCATTATAACACTGTCAGGACGTGATTATATCGTAAGTTCTTTGTTTGACATAAATTGGAATTGAACATTATTGCTTAAGTGATATACATCATCATCATTCAACATCCTGAATAATCAGACTGTGATTATCCACGAAGTTTTAAATGTTAAGCAATTGTTTTATATTCAGAACTTTGAACCATTTTCCCTTTTTTTTTAAAAAAAAAGTTAGGAAGTTCTGTATATTGAAATGAAATTTACACTATAGTTTTCACTTTAAGCGTTTGAACTTATCCCCAACTGTCTTCTATAAGTTAGTATAGCACAGACTAATAAGACATAAACAAAA